GTTAGGAGCAGTGTGCTGCCATTTTGAACGGCGCCCGGGGAGCAGTGTAGGGAACGGTGCCTTGCTCAGGGACACCTCGGTAGCACTTGGTCTTGCCGGGACTTGAACTGGTGACCTTCCAGTTGCCAAGCCAAGTCCCTATCGACTTTGCCACCACCGCCCCCGAATGTGGTTGAAAGATCAACATATTTCCAACAAACAAATGATCAGATGTAATGAATATTGCAAGTTTAAGGCATATACAATAAGGATAAAATACAATTGTGCTATATCTCTGGGGCTGGTTACTATATTAAATATATCTAATTTCTAAAATGCTACTTCTTCTATTGTATAATGCATGGACCCAATGTGGGGAGTGATTTACAAAAGAAAAGTAATAAAAAAAACATTGCAGAATCAGAGCACAGAGTTAAAGAAAAGACCCAAAGGGATGTTGATACATTATTTAAAAAATACATTTTGAACTTCAAATGCTCTTCTGCTTCATCATATAACAATTACATGCAGTGGGAGACATATTGTTAAAACAGTTAGGAGCGAGAGGAAATGGAAGAATAAACAGATCATGAACTGGATTTAAATTCCCTATGTTACAAGTACATGGTATATGTTTTAGCTTAGTGAGCTGTCAACACAGCCTTAGGGACTGTGTCTAACAACTCATTTAGAGGGAAAGAAGTTTGAAAAGTGCAGCAGAGAGTGACCTAAGTGAGCAGCTGAATACTGTGCAGACACTGCAGAGGAAAAAACAAACGGCAACAGATTGTATAATGAGCCAACACAGAGTTGATTACTTTTAAACTTCTGACATTTTGTTATAATTTCCCAGCCAAATAACACAAGTGTATTGGTATGTGTAATGTTACTTGTCAAGCATTTGGTTCCCTCTGTGCAAATTAATTGTAGAATAGAGAAATTATGTAGATGAAAAAAAGTACTTAACAAAAGGCAGAGTAATGTCGGGAACACAACCACTGATGTGCCCTGGCAAGAACAATGCTTGTAAAGTCCAGCGTCAGCAATCCTCAATATGGCATTTTATCAAAACTGCAATAAAGCCTTTCCACAAAAACAAATAGGCCTGATTCAATACAACCAAGTATATACAGGCTTAATTTTAAGGGTCTACAATTCAGGTTAGACCTTGTCCTCCTCTTGTCATTGTCTTCAGCTGTCTGAAATTGGATGGTGAGGCTGGATGTGCTCCCCAGATCATGACAATGATTAATAAATAATAACGGTGAGATCAGGGGGACATCACTGAAGGGCTATTTATATCCGCAAAGCAAATCTAACCTTGACCTCCTTTTTCACAGTGACCACACTCGCCCTCCTTAAGCCAAGAGTCAAACATCATACTTTCACACTTCAGCGTCATCTCATAACTCAGACTTAGACATGAAATATTCAAATGCTGCTCTGCCTACTGTAATAGGCAGTGAAATTCCTCATCGTGGGCTTCACAGACTGTGTGCTCTTTGTTTCAGGGAGGAAGTGGCCAGCACCTGTGAGCTGCTCTATGTGAGGAATGCAATAACACATGGACACTTATCATGAGTGTTTCCATCATATTGTATCATGATTTCTCATTTTGCCCAGACACTCTGGAGAGGAGCATGCCAGAAACGTAATCTTTTGGGCCTGTGTGGGAAAATACTTCAATCTCAGTCGGGTTATGATGTGCGTGCATATGTGTGTCTGCACAGGTGTGCGGGGGGAGCAGAGCAGGCGAACAGACAGGCGCACCGGGTGCCTGTGAGGTCAGGGGCTAGGTGGAGTGTTAGCAGGAACGACACCTGACAGCAATTGGGTGGATGCGCCCTGGCAGTTCTGTACATTCATGTCACTACTGATAAAAGTCAGCACCTGCTGAGCAGGAAAAACTACAGTGCCGGTGCCACCGGGTCCTCCATACAGGAGAAGGAGAGGAGGATGAGAACACTTCCTTCCGCCTGTCCTTCCCTGTCCCTCCAATGCTCATTGAGCAGACAAGTCAGGACAGCTGTGATGGCCATTGGTTGGCAAAAGTACCAACTTTGTCAATGCCAGAGGTGGGAGCAAAGCTACATTGCACACTCCGATTTGGGCGAAAACGAAACCTGGAAGGCTCTCTTTTGGTTGTGTAACAGCCAAGGGCAAAGGGAGCGGGATGGCTACATGTGTCTTACTGGGTAGAGCAGAATAAACCAATTTGTGGCGCAAGATGTCCTTAAATGTGAAAGAGATGACAAATGTAAGTACCGCAACTGTAAACTGTGTAGATACAGTGCTGCTTTGTAGCTCTTTGATCAACTTGACTGTCAGGCCCGGGATTTTCTCAGATCTTCAAACTGTCAAAAAACATGTCCTCCAGAATCAAAGCAACATCATGGATGGTCTTCTAGCTTTCAGAGTCTGAAAACATCTTGGCCTTCCATGTTCTGAAGGAACATTCTAACCTGGGTTACATGGAGCTCTAGCCTCCATCAGTGTTTCCAGTTGTCAAGAACTACACCTGGAAAACAACCTCCAAAATGACCTTATGTATCCTTTGTGTTCTCAAATCCACTTGAGGCCATGGTCTGTTATGTGGCTATATTGAATTGCATGACCAGTGATGTTTTCATTGTGTCCATTCCATCGCTAATAAAAAGCCAGATAGTGCCATCTAGTGTTCACATATTACACAGAGGGAACCCCCTTTATATTTAGCTGCTGCAGCATTTATCACACTGCCAATGCATGGAGTCAGAAAAAAACACATAATTTTACAACATGAACAATGGCGTCCAACAAAAAGACCTCACATGTTCTGCTTATATTGCTTGTGTGAAGTCCCACACACTCCTCCTTACATTCCCTTAATAAGAGCTGATCTACATCTTTTACATAACCCCGAAGAAAGTGTAGCAATTGTCCAAATGGGCGGGTTGTTTTCCCCCACATTTTGCTTTCCTAAGTGACTGAAAATGAGGGACGTAAGCAAAAACAAACTTAGCATTTCACTGTAGTAATAGCTTCTGGAAAAACGTCACCTTCAGCAGTGGGGTGTGGAGGAAGGGAGGAGGCCGTATTGTGTGTGTGTGTGTGTGTGTGTGCGTGTGTGTGTGTGTGGAGGGGGTTGTTGGGGCAGTGGGTGGAGAAAGAGTGGGGGAGGTAAACTTGGACGCATGTGCTGCAAATTAGGCTCTGGTAGGCAGGCCCTGTGTTGGGAGCAGCGCAGGAGACAAGCGTGCGGGTGTTTCTGCATGGCAGCAGACGGCTGCACCTTGGGGGCCGACTGACCCGGGTGTAAAAAAAAGGAGGGCGAAAGACAGCAGGCTGTGACGAACACTCGCTCTTTCCCTCTTCCTGTCTCCCTCTCTCGCCCTATCCGTGGCCCCTGGGGAACCCTTGCACGCACCTCTAAGCAGCCTCTGTATATTCACTCCCCCATGTGTAAGTCTTCAATCGCTCTGCCCTTATATAAGGCCTCTTTCCCCTCTACATGTGTTTGAGGCCCTCGGTCTCTCCCTCTCAGCCACTGTGGAAAGCTCTGCTTCATTTCTCTCTGGGTGGGAGTCCTCATTCGTTCTGAAAATAAGCAACCGCCCTCATTTTTACAGGAAGATCGTCAAATATCCTCTCAAGTTCCCTTGATTCATAAATACAGGAGCAGGCTTTCTAAACATTTTACTTCATCCCTTGACTGGAAAGGAAACTCCTTTCATCTGAAATGCGGGCAAAGAGAGTTTAAAGCTAGTTGCAGTCTTTTTCTAGACCTTAAATACACACCTACCTGTATAAAACGGACCTTTGTAGGATTAATACTTCATAACATGCAGATCCTTTATCGTACCTCTTTCTACACATACAAGTATTTAACTGAAGTTACACAACAGTGTTGTTGATACAGAGTTGGAGTTTATTCACACGTCACACTACAGTGGGTAATGTATTCAAGAAACATTGAACAGTGCTGCCACATATGACACAGGAAAAAAAGAAAAGACTCTGAACCCTTTCTTTGCCATTATATAAAAATAGTGTTGCTACAAAAGTATAAATTAGGCTTACTAATAAGACAACTCAGATCTGAAGCTACACAGGAATCTGCTGCCAACGTGCAATAAAAAAGAGAAAATTAATAGAATCAAACCCTTTTTTTTTTGCATTTTAGTAGATTATAAAAAGAAATGCCTTTAAAATAGGATGCAAGCAACACTAGTTTCTTAACCTGAATTGATAATAGACTATAATCCATAGTTTAAACAGAACAGATCTCAATGTTTGCATTCTTACACCATTTTGTACAATTATTATCTGAATAAGTTCAAACAAACTAAAACTTACAGCTGATTAATAACGGTATCTAACTTGAGTTTTTATTATATCAAAAACCTGTTGAAATGCTACTGTAGAAAATAGAGGTATAATGTTACTGGTGTTCCCTACTGTATTTCTAAAATGAAGGCTCCCCCTTGTGGCATAAAAACAGCAGTTCTCTTGTATTTACACAAAACATCCTCTGAAGATGGATGATGTCAACCCATTAACACCAACCCACGATCAGCATCACCCAACAAGGTCAAGATGAATTCCGTGTTGCTAATTAGCGTCCTTGTTTAATCAGATGGAGGTGAATCATGTTGCCTCTAACTTTATATATCAATTCTCTTATTAAAAGCATGCATATCTTAGATATAGTTCTCATTTAACAACAAAAAGAATGCTATTTGTAAGTCAAATTAAGTTGACATAATGACGTCAACAATGGCCTTTTGTCCCAGAGCATATCCTATTTAAAATACTTATCTAAAGACTGTAAGAAACATCCTTTGAATTTGTTCAATCGAGGATCACTTTTGAAACTGAAAACCAAATGTATAGTATTTTAACTTTATCTTAAACCAAAGCAAAATGCTGTATGACCATGTGATTTCTAATCAAATTATAACATTAGTGTCTGAGTACTGAGGTAAAACATTGTATTGTTACGATTTTCTTTTACCAAAATATAAATGTGCGAAATAAATCAGTTTGAAAACAGCAGTATACATTTTATCACGATGATATAGTATATTGGTTACACTGAATCAAGTAATTCCCCAGCCTTAGAGAGGGAAAACAGATACATATTGGAATATATCAATGAAATAACTCCTTCCAAGAATCTTAATGCAAGAAAAAAAGGAAAGTTACCAACAGTAATCCAACACCCCTTTAAAATGCTGTCTTTGCTGACCTCTAGTGGTTTAACCTCTCACCTTGCTGCAGTGATGTTCAGGTTGTCAACATCACGTATAGTTATTAAGAGGTATAACAAAAAGACATTTCAGAACACATCCATCCACCCATTACTGATGGTGAAAGCATTCAACCAGAGAGGACAGCAAAAATGTGCAGGGTGGCAACATACTCTTAAAGAAAAGAAGTGTATTTATGGAACAGTAAATCAGTTGTTATTAGAGGTATAGGAGGGCAACAGTCTATTCAAAACAATATGATGCCGTTTGCAAAGCAGAGCCATTCACTTTTGAGTGACAGTCATATTAATGCATGTATAATAAATGTGAACACATTTTCTCATATAACTGAAAACTGCTGAATTCAGCTGGACCAAAAACCTTTGCTTCTTAGAGAGACCCGTCTTTTCTTGGCTTTACACTTTGAAACATTTACTGTAATGCCCTTTAAATGTCCATGTGCAGTGTACTGACTTCCTGTACTTCCTACTTCCTGTGTCCTAACAAACTTAAATGATACAGTAATGTTGAACCAATTTGCCCTCGAATAAAGACGATTCAGACCTGGGTCATAAATAAATCCTGATGTGATCATGAGGGTGGTGCAGCAGTTTGAAGATGGTGAGTGTGATGATCAAATAAATAAAGTAGTGCGACGGGGCATAATAGTCTCTTATCCATTTCCAAAACAGAAGCTTCAATTTGTTACATTTAATTTAAATGAATGGGAGACTGAACAAAATGTAGTTTACTAAAAGTGAAATGTGAGTGTACCTTGAGTTGTACTGGGGCAGAAAACTGAAAAGATGATACTGCAATACTTTTTTACAATTGATTTTCTGAAATGTGACTGAGTGTTTATAATTCACATAATATGATGTAGCTTTATCTGTCTTTCATTTTTGTGAAGCACTTTGAATTGCCTTGTGTTGAAAGGTGCTATGTAAATAAACTTGCCTTGCCTTTATTTATTGAACTGCACTTTTTAGGATCAAAAGACAATATTTAAGCTGCACCACAACTATTAAGATAGATACCTAAAATACAATTGAGTGTTACATCAGTATTGATAAACCTTCCTGCTCTGGTATGACCCCAGTTCAAACCTGACCTGCTGCATATAGGCTTATACAGAGGATACTTGTGCTTGGGTGTGTTATTGTTGAAATAATACCTGACCTGTTTTAGAAACCCAGAGATGACTTGAACTTTGGAATAAAGCACTTTTTTTAAAGTCCACATTTGACCACTAGAGGACACTGTTTCATCAGGCAGAGGTTCCTTTGAATAAAACAAAATAAAAGCTTGAGAAAACATGGTGAAAAGAATGCCATTGAACAGCAATAAAAAGGCATGACATTAGCTCCCACTGTAGGTGGTCGCATGAAAAGAAACATAAGGCCCCAAAAACAAGATGACAAACCAGTACTTTACGTATCAGTACCAGAAGCAACAAACTATTTTACAGTATAACTTCCATTCATCCAAGTCATCTTAGGAGGTATTAGCTCACGTAAGTGTGTCCTGGAATTCATAAAACATTAAACCACTTGACCTTGTGTTGACTTAAGTTAATGTCCTGGCAGAATTTGCTTCATCCTGAAAAAGATGATATATATTTCTTTGTTTGTTGCAAATGGCACTAACTGTATTTGGGGTGGAACGTTTCCCAAAGTCACGGTTCAGTTCATACCTCCGCATTGAGGTCATAGTTTTGTGTGTTTTCGGTACAGTGAGGAAAAAGTGGCGGTGCCTGCTAGGGTGCATTCCTGAGAAAATCCTGTTGATTTTATAAACAGAAAATAATTTACCATTAATAATGAACCGTAGGAGCGTTGTGAAAACAGTCGTGTTGAGTAGGTAGGTTTGATAAAGCTTAGTGCTTTAAAAATGGAAAAATGTAGCTCACATAAGGAAGACAATGCTTATAAGAATGGTAGATGAGGAAAAAATAAATAAAATAATGATTATATTCTTATCTTTCTAATTAAGCTTTGAAAAAAAATAGACAAGGGTTTTCAATTATAAATTAAATCCTTGTGTACAAGCTTACCAAACTAATAACATTACTGCTGTTTATCTGAGGACAATGCACAGACAAAATGTCTCCGGTATAGAGAAGGATATTGAGGTCTCTTTTCACAGAGCTGAATGACTATCTGAAGCACCAGCGCTGCATCATAAAGCCACACAAAACGACCTCGAGAAGTCATTATTGTGCATTGACCTACAAGCTGGGATATAACATCAACTATTACATGATGATGTGAGATATATTTATCAAATACGTTATTGAATTACCCTTTGGTGCCACGGCACGCAGCCATGGTAAGGCTGAATGAAATTGTTGTATAAAAGCACAAACATGCTTAACATGATGCTGTCCTCTTTATGTATATTAAGAGAACTCAAACAAAAGCTTGGATTATATTAATTGAATTGAATTAAATGGTCCCTTCTGTGCAAATCTAGCCATTTTCCTTGCATATCCAGCAGCAAAAACCAACCATTGGTGATTTTTCTTTCAATTTGTAACATAAACAAAAAGGGAAAGCATAACATCCTTATGAATGTTTTATCAGCTTTTTACCCTTTTGAATGAAAAATGCATTCAAATGATCCAAAGCTACATTTGTAGGCCACTGAAGCAACCTTCAAATTAGCAGCAAATATTTTGCTCAGTGTTTCCTGTGGCAGAATATGTTGAAATTAAGTGTTTCAGTGATATGTGATAGTAAATAATAAACCTACTACACTTAGTTGTCAGAGGTGCAGTGGCAGTTAAATTCACTTCTTGAATTGTTTTGTCATACACCAATGAAAATGATAATTGTCTAAATAATGTGTATGCTTACTGCTGTATGTTTTCAGAGGTGCATGACAATAGTTTCAAGCAGTGAAATCTGAGTTTACCTGAAAATGTTGCCATCCAGTGAGAATAACAGCATTGTAGCCTATTAGCAGTTTAGCCGTTAGGCTGGAGTAATTCACTGGCCATGATGAGACTGATCCTGCTTACATTTGCATCCCAAACCAAGTGATGCATACCGAACAAGACAATCTTTTGAGGGTTACCGTTCCACCCCTAAATGTTGTCCACAGTAATATACAACAGTCTTTTCTCCCTATAGAATATGTAATAAGCTGTATTGTGTTATGGGTGTTTGCAACCTATACAATGTGAGATTCCTGTAAATATCTGTCTTGAGAAGTAATTTAACACATTGAAGTTTACAGTTGGTCTAAACCTACAGTATGTAAATAATAGTCTTCAGTCATTGGTTGGAGGCGAGGGTTTGGTTGATTAGGGTTTGTTGATTTTTCTCTCCTAGCCCATGTTGGAGCGAAGAAAAATGAGTTTGTTCATCTCCTCAGAGGTGACCTGCTGCCTCCTCTTCATAGCCAGGCTCTGCTCACACACAGTCACACACTCGCTGCGTATGCCCACAGCAGGCACAGCGAGGAGCCACATGGCCAAGCGGGAGAGCCTGGGGAACTTCTCGTTCACCAGAGAGCTCCAGTACTGGAAGAGGTCAGGTGTGCCTTGGAGAAGAGGCTCGGCCAGGTACTGAAACATCTCTTGTCTAACTTGGTTATGACTATCATCGTTACCAGAGGAGGAAGTCCCCCTTATGATGCCGCCATTGTTTCCCGCTCCCTCTATGCGGCTTATTTTAGGGGTTGGTGGGCCATCAGTGTCCCGCTCATCACCACCTCCTCCACCACTCATACCTCCATCTCTGTTTTCAGCAGCCATTTCACATGCGCGGGAGATTATGTCTTCATGTTGGTAGGCGGGCACCGAACACAGCTTGACCTGCGGGTCCAGCACCATGGCTACCTGGTGGGCTCGTTCAACCTAGTGACAGAAAAACATTTCAATGACTGCAAGTCAAACCAATTACTCATATGTATTTGTCATACAACAAGACTCTCTTTAGTATGGCTGGGTACTAAGCTACAATGCATACTTGCTACAGTGGCATCAAATGTTGGGTGAAATCTAATATTGTGTTTACTTAATTGTTATTGGTTTCAATTTAAAGATCATCAATTTGATTCAAGCGAAGTTGAACAAAATCTATTGGCATTAGTAGATTAAAAAATAAACCCATCTGTATGTGTTACAGTATATGTGACCTGCTCCATCGAAATCAGTTGCATTGACCCGAAGACACATTTTGAGTTGTATACACTGTTGGAAAGAGGATATTCCTAGCTTTCTAATGATATCAGGATTGTTGTTGTACTCCAAATATTAAGCGAAATATGTCACATTATATAATGACTGTCACCGAGACATCATTTTGAGAAAAAGGCCTTCAAAGTTTTCTCTTCTCTGGAATCCATCGATCTGATTGATTATTAGTGGAGCAAATGATCAAAATACTACGGAGGGAAGATATTTTTGTTTGGAGGGGAAGCTCGCGAGTGTGTGTGTGTGTGTGTGTTTGTGTAATTTTGCGTTTGTGTGTATTGTGTGTTTCCCGGGGAAAACACTCACGAGAAACACCGGCTGTTGTTATGCCTGCTGTGATGTTAAGTTACTCCGTTCTCCGCTTGTAATTATGCTGAAGCTTCAAAGTTGTATTTATCATCTGAATTTGCCGAAACAAGTTTAATATTCTGAAAGCCAAGACTTTGTTTAATTGAAATCAGATGAAAACAAACTGTAACGGACCCTGCCGTGTTATCTATGATTACTATACTCTTACATTCATAATTTCAGCCGGAGGGAGGGGGGACGGCGCTGCTGGAAGAGCAGATTGCGAGTGAGAGGTGCCTGTCTTCGTCCCTTTACAAGCTTAAAAAATGTATTTATCGTGTGATTTTGGAAATAAAAGTTTCATATTCTGAAAGCCAATACTTTGTTTGTTTAAAATCAAACAAAACACCCAAACCCCGAAAAAATAGTTTTTTACGTAAATCCACATTTATTTTGAATTGAGCCGTTGCGACTTCCGACTGATTTCGATAGAGCGGGTCACATATAAGATGAATCTTCTTATTTTGACAGCAAATTCTTAAAATAATAAAATGTATCAAACTTTAGTACCTTGAAGTTTTCCTTAAGTGCTTCGAGAAAGTAGTGGCAGAGTTTGCTAGCCGGGCCAGTTCCTGCCTCTCCAGCTTTGGATGTGAAGAACTTCTCCAGGCGCAGGTAGACGGGTAACACCTGCTGTAAGGTGGGTCTCCTCTGGGTGCTCAGCTCCAGAGCTGCAAGACGCAGAGGAGCCAGCAGACATGCCATTGTACCGAGCAGATGCTTGTTGAGACCTTGGAGGAGAGGAGCTGTGGCCTTGTTGCGACCATAAGCCTCGCAAATCTGTTCAAAGTGAGCATGGACCTGAAGAAGAGCTTCAGCCGTACGATCCCAGCAAGGAGGGTTCGGGCATTGTGCAGGGCCGCCCTGTGCTCCGTCCTCAGTTGTGCTTGTGGATGTTTTGAAGTACTGTTCGTCGCGAAGGGACAGCGTGGTGGAGGAGGCGATATCTCGGCACGCTGAGAGAAGCTCAGCCAACTCATGAAGACCTCGAGCCTGGAGGCTGCGCTTCCCAAGAACTGCCTGGACGACAGCCCCGAGGGAACACCCAGCGCATCGTAGGCATACCTTGCTCCGACCACCAGCACCCAGGGGTGATCCCGCCAATCCTGCTGCCCACGCTTTAGGCTCAGAAACATACACGGTGCGTATGTCTGACATCACAAACTCAGACAGCACGTTCTGCACCCAGTATTGGACCTGCTCGGGCCCCTCCCTCAGCTCAGCCTCCCTCACACCGAGCACATAGCGCTTCAACCTGGAGCCCTCCACCTGGTAGGCTGTGAGAACATAGCAAGCATCTGGGCCTGATGTCTGGGAGTGACAGGTGACGGCGATGCCCAGCGAAGCATTGGAGCCGAGAGCACACGTGACTTTGACTTTCACTTGGTTGTACATGCGGGGCAGCTGGCGCAGCGCCAAGGCACTCATGTTGCCAAAAGCGTCACGGGTGGAGTAGGCACCATGACGGGCTCCAGTATCCACCAGGGTCTGTGCCAACTTCAGGAAGTCTTTGCTGTTGAGCACATTTAGCATGCTCAGATCTGAACACATTACCCGTAAGAGGCGCTCAGCCACCTGCTGTCGTTCCTTCTCAGGTAGTCCATTATTGTCTGCTAGCCCGCACAGCAGATGGGTTGACAGGAAAACAGAGTAAAACATTGACAAGAAAGATAATTAGTAGTGATGTTTTTTATATATTGGCAGAGAATACAGAGTTTCTTTATAGGGGGAATGAGCTACAGAATCATAGAGAATAAAGACATAAATGACATGGTAAAAAACATGGCTTTGTTTTACAAACCAGATTGACTTCAAACTTAGGGAAAATGTAGAGAATATATTAAGATTCATTTATCTTGCTATTGCTCTAATCCATGTTTTGTATCTGTCTGACAGGGGGGGAATGCCGCATTACTAGCTATAGCAGAAAGCGAACCAGGGATGTTGCAGTGATACGTTATGCTTCTTAAACCCAAGGCCAACATAGGCTCCCTAATAATACAATTTCAGATTGTTTTAACAATAACACTGTATGATTAGTCAAGGGGTTATAAAACATTCTTTAAGCCTGTATATAAACAGGGTTGTACCCAAATCACTATAACCTATTTGTTTTACTTTACATTTATTTTATTAATATTATTATTTTTTGCATTCATTTTGATGTATTAATGTTTATTTTAAATATTATGTACATGTCATATAATAGTGTTCTATTATTTTACGTCTCCATTTACACTTTGCTGGAACACTTTTAATTTCTCCTTTTTTGGACGAATAAAGAGATTCTGATATTTTCAATCAAATAGGATTTGGCTGTTCGGCTCCAAGCTTGCACTGCTATAATAAAAACCTATTGCAGACGGACTAAAACCCCTGTGTTTCAACTCGACTGAGGAGTCAACCACGGATGAATCCACTCTTTCAGGGGGGCAACCTGGTACGCATTAACTATCACAGCGTGAGATGTATGAAGATGATTGAAGTACTTACGGCTGACAGTGTGGTTTCTCTGGGGGATACTTTGAGGCTGGATTTGTAGTTTTACTAAGGAATGGGCCGGACCTTGAGAGCCTCTCCACAGCTGCTCTGGAGGAACGGAGGCTGAGGAGATTTTGGGAGACTCCCCTTTGGTGTGGTTCTCATTGTCAGCTGAGGAGAAGAAGACATTAACATCAGGAAGAGGTGACAATACTATATAGTTTTAAGTGTATGTTAAGTGTTTTCAGTGTAGAAAAATGCAAAGAATTGAAAAGAAAATGATGGCCCATAATTAAACAAATAAAATAGTTGACAGCAAAACTATATGACATGGCTTCTTGGACTCTATTATTTACAACATGTGCGTCAAAACTAGCAGAGCATGTTTAAAAGAAGAAATTAAACTGATTTGTTTCCTCAATGCTCATATAGGTTCAGCTACAAATCTTGCAATTTTTAAATGAGGTCAGTCTCACAGCAATCATTCCAAAAGCAAGGATCCAAGGGCAAAGCCAACAGTAAGATATCATCATCAGTGTACATGTATTCTGTTTCCAAGAAGCCTGGAGAACAGTATTCTAGTCTATAATCATATTTCTTACTGCACACGGGGAGAGGCAACATGATTCATGCTTAAGAGGGTAAACAAACTGCACTTCAGTAATGTATCAAATAAAAACTGAATATGGGCGTTTGCTTGCTATCCTATTTCACACCACTGTCAGATGTATTCAGTTGTATTAGTCTGTTACCTACGGTGGCTGAGGTGCAATCGACAATTACAAAGTGTGAAACACTTTAACAAAGCTTGAGACAAATTTACATTTTATAAAACACATTTACATTACAGCTAAACACTTTTACCAAAGAAAAAAAGATTTAACATTAACAAAAACAAATTAACAAGACGCAACACACTTTTACAAAGCTATAGACACATTTACAAGTGTCGAAAGACTTTACCATTTCCCAAAACACTAACATTTGCCGAAAAACTTTAACAAACTAGAGAATCAAACCGGAAAGGGAATGCCCATCATACCAGAAGTGACTGACACAAACTTAAGTTTGTTTTGGCGGATAGACCGCCGGTACGTATGGACCTTTATGGTCGTTAAACATGTTTTGTCCGTTCTGTGGAAACCACCTGGGTCAAGTGACATGGTTTTGCTCATCACGATATACTTTCTCTTGCGCAAGAGATACGTTCTCATGCACACGAGAAAGTTACAGGTTCGCCAAGTAGGAAGTGGAGCTGTGTCTTTTACACACATCCTTCGCTGTGTTTACCTTCATTAGACAGCTAAAGAACGACTGCTTTGTTACACACACACACACACACACACACACACACACACACACACACACACACACACACACACACACACACACACACACACACACACACACACACACACACACACACACACACACACACACACACACACACACACACACACACACACACACACACACACACACACACACACACACACACACACACACACACACACACACACACACACACACACACACACACACACACACACACACACACACACACCACACACACACACACACACACACACACACACACACACACACACACACACACACACACACACACACACACACACACACACACACACACACACACACACACACACACACACACACACACACACACACACACACACACACACACACACACACACACACACACACACACACACACACACACACACACACACACACACACACACACACACACACACACTTATTCCCCCTATTACTGATTTTATGAAGGAGATGTCCGGTCCACAAGGCGCATTACGTGTGTGTTTGTGCTCAGTTCCGCTCTGTGTGTGTGTTCGGTGTGTTTGTGTATGTCCGACACCTGCATTTGTTTTCAAATTACTATGAACAGTAATTTACACACATCTGGCCAACTCCATAGGTATATGTGTGTGTTCCAAAATGAAATAAATGTGTTTAATCTTAATCTCGATGTAGTGATCAGTGCTGTCGGAGTGCAGTGGAACACTGCAGTCAACTCAGCCGTCTCTCGCGCTTGGTCAAATCAAGTTCATGTATTCTGCTATATTTGTTGAGGGATAAAAAGATTTGTTACCATAGGTTCTACATGAAAATGATACTGTTTGACTAAGTACTACTTGGACTACTACCACAAGTACAATCAAGTATTTTTACTCTGTACTTTTGGAGTAATACTTGGTTAAACTGCTGTCCTGAGTACAATAATTCATAGTTCATATACAATACCGAAATTATTGTGCTCAGGACGGGAGTTTGACAGAGTACTACTCAAAAGGTACACAGTAAAAGTACCTCATTGTATTTGTGGTAGTAGTCTAACAAGTACTGAGTTCCACAGTACCAATTTTATTAAGAACTTCAGGGTTTCCCACACAGACTATACTTGGGCGGGCCGCCCAGGTATATTAACGGCCGCCCAAGTATATTTCGCGACCCATTTAGGTTTTTTTTTTTTTTTATTCGTCCGTGACCACTACGCCATCTGCGATCGATTAACTTGTGGACAATGATCCCTCGCTCCCTTGCTCTGATCTCGCCTCCTTCTGGCCTGTTAAGTGGCCTGCCTCACACAGGGTGACTGGCTGTCCACATGGTGTGGCCTGCCGACATGGCCACTGTCATACAGATCATAAATCAAAGCCCTTGATTGGTCTCTGTGTGTCATTCAAGCTCGGGATAACCTCAGCTCAGGTGAGGTAAAGCACTCTCTGAGTGTTTAGATAGTTAGCTTAGTCTAAGTTCTCAGTGGGTCTCAAACGGTGTGGTCACCATTTATGTAAACACATATTTCCATTTGAGAGGGTACTTGGTCTAATGGATAGTGAGGTGGGCTGAAGATCGGAAGGCTGTGAGTTCAAATCCCGCCAGGAACACCACCACTAGTGTGCCCTTGAGTAAGGCACTTAGCCCTTAGTTACTCCAGGGAGAATGTCCCTGTAATCGGTCATTATAAGTCGCTTTGGATAAAAGCGTCAGCTAAATGAAATGTAATGTGATTAGTAAAATATGCATGAATAAATAAATAAAAAGTTAACTAGGTGAAAAAAGGTAAGATACACTTTTAAAACTTGTTGAGAGAAAACTAGTCTTTGCTGCTGCCTCAAAGAGGAGCAGGGGGGAGAGGAGGGAGAGGGGGGAGAGGGGGGAGAGGAGGGAGACAGGAGAGGCTGATTCAGGAGCACAGACACACTCACAACTATAAATGAACCAAAAATAAATTAATAAACAAGTTTCAGTGTTTTTTTCATATTGGAAATGGGATGTTGTTGGTTATGGCCATGATTTTATGATTATTGAAATGTATACAGTTCTGTTTAATATAGGTGTTTCCATAGATCTAGTCTCTTTATTTCCCCCTCAAAATGCACCAGATTGATGCATTTAACTCCAAAATAAAAAATGAAATCTTACCGGGGGGGGCATGCCCCTGGACCCCCCTAGAGGATTTGAGGTCGACCCCCACTAAAAATCACATGGATAGGTTCCTAAATACATTTACAAATACATTAATTTTTTTAAATAGTAACCCATGTTCATGTGTGGGTAGTAGATTTAAACTATAGGGCTATCATTATGGGCCCTGCCTGTACCTGTTCGCTCTGCCATCGCGTGAAGGGTCTGCTAACAAGCGACCAACAGAAAGGTTAATGTTAATGTTGTTGCACGTCACCTCAAAAGTAAATATATAAGTCGTCATGAACACATCTGTCTATCAGACAGAGTGCTGCTGTGCCTCCTGTCATCATTAATGGACGTCTCTTTAAAATGACCGCTCAGAGGAGAGGAGTTCTCATTTCTCTAACCGCCTGCTGCTTCCCCTCCTCTCTCCTCGGTTCCCCTCCTTACGGCCCGTCCACACAGCGGTGTTGGAAGCTTCTTCCAACGCTTCTGCCCATTCACTTTGAATGGGGTGACGTCCCTTTTCGCCGAACTGCATTGTGGGAAGCAGAGCGGAGCTTTCCTGGCGTTTCAGGCTGCAAAAGTTGAGCAATGTTCAACTTTTGAAGCTTTCGGTGGAAGCGTCAGCCAATCAAATCATATGCCAGTACAAGCTCTAGCCAATCAAACCGCTGCTTGTGTGTCAGGGGCGGGAGATTCATGTGATTAGTTGTTGGTCGAGCTTCAGACACGCCCGCCGGCAAGCTTTTTCCAAAGCCGCTGTGTGGACAGGCCGTCAGTCCTCCACTCGCATCTCCTGTGGGCGGGACTAACTCACGAGGATAGGAGTCGAGGAGGGGAAATTTAAAAATTGAGAAGCCTCTAAAGTCATTTTGTCATGACTTTGGGGTGTGTTTGCCTAAGTTTGGAATTAGTCTTTATTTTTGACATTGTATGTACTAAAGGATACTTAATAAAAGATAATGCTGTGTATATCAATGGGGACATGTATGATGCACTAGAGCTTTTGTAACAAAACATAAGAGCGTCATATTCAGCCAGCCCAGAACCAGATCTGCAACAACCGTGATTATAACAATATATTTCTTGGAACATTAAAAACAAATGCTACATTCTCAAGGTTTAAACGCCTATGACTCAATTCGCAATTAAGTATTATGTGTGATCATACAGACCTTCACATGCACTGCAGCCACTGGGGGTGTGTTCACATTCTGTTTTTGTTTCACTGTTGAGCTTAACATGCATCTGTAGTGGTGGACTCACCAGCGTGGGACTGCATGTGCTCCAGCAGGTTGTTGTAGAACTGGAACTGGATGCCACAGGCACCACAAGTGTAGGGTTCTAAAAAATCACAAGGGCCACAAGTGCATTGACGCTTTGGTGGAGGGACAAATGAATACACTGTGCATCCGTCCACATTCTAGCCTCACTTATCCATGCTTTTGTGATTTGTATAGCCTAAAGTGACTCAATATGCAGCAGCATTTAAAACAAATTTGATCCAATTTGTATGTTACTTTGCAAATAATAAAAATAAAAAGCAACGTTTATAATGTGTATGTCGGGCGCCAATGTGGGGACTTAAGTGCTGGTCATCTAATCTCAAAGTCCTTGGTTTGAAAAGCCTTTTCCATAAACAACAACAAATATAATAAACACATAGTTAACATGTTAAAATACAAGATGTACAGCAAATGAGTTGAAACAGCTTTTCTAGCCATCTTTGTCCACCAAAACAAACCATGTACCAGTTTAATTCAGCCAATGCTTAGTTGTAGTTGTCAATTTAAGACAAAGGTAGGTCAGAATTCAATTCAGATTTACAATATGGCTCTAAAGTTCTGCCTAACAATCATGAAACTAAATGCAGAAAAACTGTTCAATCACAATGGATTATAGAGAAACAATTAGCACCTCAAAAAATCAAAGCATGCAGGAAAAAGAAAAGAAAAGGTGAAATGAGAAAGTAGAATGAATGTTCTGCTGTGAGCAGGTAGGTGGGATTGGACTCACTCTGGCTTGTAGAGAAGACGCTGGCCACCAGAGGGCTCGGAGTTCCTGTGGACAAGAGAAGAGGGAGGGAGATAAGACTACAGACAGGAGGTTCTCCATCTTCTATTTTATTTATTAATTAAATCACGCTTCCCTTTGTTTATTCAGTCAGTGTCTTAAAAAAAAAAAAAAGGAAACATTTAAAAAATATATTTCCATTGATTTGTTCCAAACATGACAACACCTTACAGAATTTTTTATCAGTGACTGATGGTTATGTAAACCTTATACAAGCAATTTTAATACTGCATCGATCCCAAGGATGTATGGATTGATTCCAGCGCCATTCAAACTGAATTTCTTTTTAGCAAAGACAAAACAGAACAGACAGAAAACTCTAATGAGAAACATACAAGACTTTTGCGACTTTTGTAGAAGATGTTGTGTTTTTGTAGGAAAGCATTGCTCAAAGAAAGAAGCTGATAGAAAACGTGCTTTTTAGGGCTTCTGAGTCCCTTTATTAAAATGACTGCACTTGAATGTTAGTGTGAGAGAAGCATGGTATTCAACAAGGTCTCAATTGTAATTGTGTGGAGCGGAATAATACAAATAATAATGATAGAGTTCATGGACTTCAGTTTTATATCGTCACAATTGAGGCAAGGTAGGTCACATAAACCTCTTTACACCGTCTACTCACCCTCCATCTCCATTTTCAGCCCGGGCATTATCAGCAAACAAAACAATGTCTGCAGAAGCACTGTTTCTATCTATACTGACACACATACTTATATACCTGCTTTTAGCAGGACTGAAAATACCTTTTACTGTTTGAGCAGAAATTATACATTTCCACCCAAATACACACACCTCCAGATAAAATAAGTGCGTCAGTGCTCACCGCTTGAATTCTGCGAACTGTTAGTGTCGACCAGACTAGACTGAATTGCACTTTCCAGTTTCCGCCTGAATGGAATGTCTGTAAGTAAAAACAAAAAGGAGAAACACAGAGTGAAATGCCCATGCTGTAAAAATGTGGATAATATTCTTAATCAACTATTAAACTAGCACAAAAGTTAATACGGAGCAAAAGTGAATGACATGCAATTTATTAATCTCAGTTTTAGTTTGGGGCATTCAAATCAATCACACTAACAGCCTTGACAAAAGGATCCAAATGTCCGCATTACATTTAAATATGGTTTTAATTCCTCCTCTTCATTCCATCTTTTTGACCCACTTCTTAGATGTGTGTGCCATGCTTTAAATAGTTCTTTATGGCAGAGCGCAGAAAGATGGAAGGGGGGGGGGGTCATGTAACACAAAATGTAGCACCACTTGGAAGAAAATCTATACAATATGACAGTAGAAAACTAATGTTGGTGGAGATATGGAGCTAAAATTGCCTACAATGTTGAAGAAAGACTATATGTGGTATTTTTTATATATAACAATGCAGATCTTAGTCTGAGGTGTTGCTAAAAGTAAACAAAAAGTATTTAATTGAGGGTTTATTTGGTTTGTAATCTTTCTGAAAAAAAACAGCTTAAAGACAAACGCTTGCTGTAATTGAAAATCTGTGCAGACCTGTGCAGATTCATTGATGAATTGTTTTTGAACATCATTTTTAATGTGTTAAGGTGCTTGTGGTAATTAAAAAAGGAGTTATAAAAAATGTTAATGTCCAATCTTCTAAAAGTGTAATTAACCATTCCCTAGAGGCCAACACTTTGCAGCAGAGTTACCACAAATACACTGGCAAGGTGACCCAGAACTTTACAGCAGATCCTATCTTCATCAGTTCTCCACTGCTTCAGGTTTAACATAATTCAGCCGTAGTGAGCCTTATATGAATTTCGATCAAACCCTCAGCAGGACTGCGATATTGTTGCGACTGTCCCTGCCCTCAAAGCCAGCCGCCAATATCTGAGTGAACCCACTGACTGCCATTCTGTGGTCGTGTGGGAGGGAGTCACACTGTCATTTTAAAAATACATTGTTCAACAGTGCAGGCAATAGGGGTTTAGTTTCTGATCAACTTCCCTAGGTTGTTTTCCCATTTTATCAGCATCAAATCTCATTTTTGACCCAGACTCATTTCCAACAATGTAACAATTTGTCAAGTTGACAATGTCAGCCAATTAAAAGCATTTAAGTTCTACATAAGCACAAATAAATGTTATGTATATGAAGTGTACGCATAATGATGGGGTAAAAGTTAGAAGCATACTGCTATACACATTACTAACAATTTCATTTAGTCACCATCCAGAGCACGAAACGACTGTGTGCTTTTAAGTGTGTGTTTGCGTGCATGAAACGAATAAGCATTTGGATTATGAGCTAATGAGGCCTGAACGTTTTGCTTTACATTATACCATCAATCAACAAATCCACTGGAAAATGTAGGATTATAAAAGTAGAATACTTACGCTTTATCTTACCAGTTTGGCTGGGGGCAAATTTATTCATATCCATGCTACCACATTCCTGTACCCGAGATGTCTTCAGATCAAAGGCGCCTAGAAGATAAGATTTCAGAATCAACTAGAGAATGCAATTGGGAATGCTTTATGCTGAAACGCTAAACTGCTATGCTGAAATGTAATGTGTAAGAAAAAAGTGAAGAATTTAGATTGAAATGATACATGAACACTGGGGGCTTGAATGTGTGATAAGAGAAGAAAATAAAGTAAAAAGGCTTGGAAAAGCAGCAGAATATTTGAACTGCAGACTTTTGAACTAACTTGATGGCGCCATTGGCATTTGATGACATCCCATAATACGCTTAGATGCGTTGATGGCTGCATCGTTACCAAACCTGTGAAGTTTTGGCCTTTTGGAGCATTTTCACTGAAGTTATGAGAAAACCGTGTTTCATGGCAAGCCTTGTGTTACTATGGCAACGGCATTTGTAGAAATCTCAAAACTCTCACGTAGATGTTGTCACACCTGGACTGTTAGCACACATGTGAAGTTTGAGCTCTTTTTGAAATTTTCATAGGAGTTAATGTAAAGCGACATTGTCTTTTATGGCGAGGGATGCGTTTCCATGGAAACGGCATATGGTGAGATCTCAGATTTGGTGTAGAGCTGTTGAGGCATGGACCGGTGATATACAAGTGAAGATTGGGGGACGATTGGACTGTGTCGATTGGACTTACAGCGACATCGTGTTTCATGGCGAGTGGTCTGTCGCCATGGCAACGACATTTGATGACACGCCATAATACGCTTAGATGCGTTGATGGCTGCATCGTTACCAAACCTGTGAAGCTTTGGGCCGTTTGGAGCATTTTCACTGAAGTTATGAGAAAACCGTGTTTCGTGGCGAGCATTGTGTTGCCATGGCAACGGCATTTGAAGAAATCTCAAAACTGTCCCATAGATGTCTTCATGGCTGGACTGTTAGCACACATGTGAAATTTGAGCACTTTTTGAACATTTTCATAGGAGTTAATGTATAGCGACATCGTGTTTTATGGCGAGGGATGTGTTTCCATGGAAACGGCATATGATGACACCCCATAATTGACGTAGAGCTGTTGAGGGCAGGTCAGGACCATTAACCATTATCTGAAGCCTGCTGCTCTGAGCATGTCAGTTGGAGTTATGACATCATCGTGTTCCATGACACAGGTGTTTATATTTGAGCTAACGAGGTGTCCAGAGATCAAAGGTTTCCATTGTTCTGAATGAGAGATAAACCTCTTACATGTGAACGTTTTGTTGAAGAACCGTAACAGATATCGGTAAAATTTCAAAGCGTGAAGCATCTCAAGGACCTTGAGTATCTGAAGTGTGCTTTTTGTGTACTTTAGGGTCAATAATGTGGCCTTTTTGGCAGATTAACTAAAGGTTAGGTTAACTTAAAGGCTGCTGCTGTGAGGAAATATCAGCCTGAAATTACAATGGGCTTTAATGGAGACATGTTGAAAGTTGTTGTCACTTCATGCCCTCAAGAGGCATTTTGTTTAATTATTTTTGCTTAATTATTTGTAATTTTTCAAGCTACGCGATTTTTTCCTACATTTGTCATGAAAAATTATGTCTCAGGAATGTAGGGTTTGGGAATTATGGCAGTTTTTAAAAAGAAATATGAAGGCAAATTTCCTACACTCTAGCTGTGACATCACACACTCTGAAGAAGGCCTCTTTACCAAGGTCTGAACAATGTTTAATATCTCTAAAAGTAAGAATCAGATTTAAAAGTTGTGTTACACGAATAATGTCAAAAGATGTGTAACATTTTAAAGTTGGAATGAGGTTTCTGAGTGAAAGTATGAAGGAACAGTTAGCAGTTGAAGTGGCATGAAGATTTGTTGAAGTCTGAAGAATTTCTTCATTGACTTCCATGTTAAAAATGTGATGAATTATGGGATGTATCTCTGTAATTATGAAAGTTATGAATGATAAAAGTAATAGCCATCGATTCCCGACCGAGCTGAACGTTTTGATGTTTGAACGGAGTTTCTGCGATGTTCAATGCGGGAGGAGAAGAGGTGAAAAATCCCGGCGGAATAATAATAATAATAAAGAATTTGTGCGTAGAAGAACAGATAGTTGGAATGCTGTATCAGCATTCCCACTAAATTACAGTGCAATGCTCCAACGTAGACCTTTGACATCCAATCTGACAATACTGTTGTTTTCTTCACAATACCTTAACATTGTAAACATAAAAACATACCATTAAGATGTTGGCAGTACCTCCACGATTTATTTATTTTTGATGATATATTTGTAGACACCAACAGAAATACAAAAAAGGAGAGATTTTCCTTTATGTTGTGGCTTCAAGCAATAATTAAACAGGCTTACTCATCGGTGTGTGCAGAGCGACGTGCTCCTGGTATGGGTTGAAGTACTTGTACTGCTTCCCGCAGAACTCGCAGACATAGCTCCCAGTTTCTGCAAAAAAGAGAACACAGAATCAAACCGGGGTAAAACCTGTATATCAATTGAGGTGAAGTGTGGGAGATTAATTGTGTTAAATTAAATACAACTAAAAGAAACAGAATCACTTTGTTAATCAGGTGCTTTTTCACTAGGAAGAAGCAGAAAACAAGAGGTCCTAATAGAGTGGAGAAGACGAGGCTGGTGATTCTAAAAATGGTATCTTTTCCAGTTCAAATCTTACTTTTAGCAATTTTTCCATATTAAAGTAAATAAAGACACAGGGGTCTCCTGCAAAGTGTGCTGAGCCTTTCCCTATCCCCCAATCAGTAGAAGTCATTAGTGCAGTGACAAGTGCAGGCTTCCCACCTGCGTACACTGCCAATTGAGTTTGAAGGGACACCCGCTGCCTTCGGTCCGACCCGCAGTCTCTGCGGAGGTGGGCGAGTGCTTTTTCCCCTGCGAAGGAGGACTTTTGGACTCATGTTCTGAAACCTTTCCAGTGTGGAGTTAGCTCATATGTGTTATTGGCTAAGGTCGTTTACATTAATGTAATGTAATGTTTAGTACAAACTGTGCCCAATGTGCTGAACTGGACACAGGTGGACTAATCAAGCTGTCAAATGTACGCCATGTTAAAAATAATTTAAGGAATGACGGAAGAACCTACAAATCAAGTTAGAGTTGTAATGCCCCCTGAGCAAATATGTCAGATTTACCTCTCTAAAATAATCATTTAAATATAACGTTGACAAATTGGTTACAGTTACAAATGATCCCAATTTAATCTATTCCTTCTGGAGGGTATAACAACTTAAAATGTGCAATCAGCAATGTGGTGTATAAGCTACTGTATGTATAGACCACTTTGCAACCTTCACCTGCGCTGGTATATATGTGGAATTAACTACTGTAAGTGCATCAAACAGTCTTACTTGGTCCGATTTTCTGGTAGGGTTCAACTGGCTCCTCCTCTTTAAGGCTGTCCACAGGTAACACTACCTGTTCATAAGGATCTGAGAGAGGAGGGCGAGGGAGAGGAGGAAGAATGGGAGATTAGATTTTTCTAAGAGAGTAGCAAGGGGTATCCTACTCTGAACTCAAGTGCGAGTAAGAAGTTTAAATTATTGAGTTTCTTTTGTTTTTACAGTAAATTCTGAAATATAGGACTGTATTTACCTCAACTAGTCAGTTTGAAATAAGCTTTACATAAAACAGACTATTATTAGAGTCTGATTTTTGTGCTAATTTCATAGTCTATTCATTTTTTATTAGCAAAAAATCCCCCTGTTTTTGTATACTACTCCTCCTCCTTACTATGCTACTCAGCTTTTGTTGCTGCTGCAGGAAGTAGAGACTCTGGTGACCGTGTGAAATGGGAAGTTCTCTTCTAAATGGTTTTCCAGATCAAGTCTTGGGGTTGTCAAAGAAAAAATAAATTGCCATGCTAAGTATCCAAAAACTCCTAGTTACCATCGACTGCATGCAGGTCACGGTGCTCCTGGAAGCAGCTGTAGTATTTATACTTCTTGCCACAGATGTCACAGGAGTAACGGAAGCTATCTGCAGATAAACATATAGTGAGAAAAACAACATTGTTTATAAGGATGGATATTACTGACAACCAGTATGTTTGGAAACTGGGTAAATAATAACCTTATTATAGTAGAGATACTTTGCTTTGGTGTAAAGTTTACAGTACAGAGGACAGTGCAAAGGTAAAAAATGACAAGATTGAAGGAGCCATTTCAGTGACTACATTTGAACTAAGAACACATTCATCTGAATGTATAGAGATCCGGTTGAACATCTTATTGCATTCTGCCTTAGAAAATGAGTCCTGTTTTTAGTCATGGTGTATTAGAAATGATAAATGACTTAACAAATGTGATTGAAATACATTGATTGGATATCCTTGATTACATTGGGGCTGACACACAGAGGGAGGCTAGAGGAGATTAGAATAACAGGACAAATAGGCAGATGAATCCCTGGGGGGAAAGTGATAGAAAAGGTAATAATGATTTGATTATTTATAAGAGTGACACCTTCACACAAACAAAACAAACAAATATTTATCCGTGTATGCAAAACAATGCAAATTAGTTTAATGCGGCATTTTAAAATTAGAATTAAATTCAAATAGTGTTCAGTAGAATATAAAGTAGAGTGCTTAAGAATTCAATGGGTAATTGTCTCTCTTTTTATTTAGATTTGTTTTAGATGATGATTTTTGATCAAGAACACTAAAATTAAAAATGGTGTTTTGACCCAGATGTATTTTTTATGTTGCTTCTTGTTTACAACTTGTGCAGCCATTCCATGACGTGTCTGTAGACGTCTACGAGAGTGAAAGGACAAAAGGGAAGCAGGTTAATTGTTCTGCTATTGCTAATTGTGTTGCAGTGGGAAGCATTGTGCAGCCAAGTGGCTGTTGAGAATTAAGAACACTTTAAGTGCATCTTGGCACACCACAGCGAAGTCCTGTCTGAGGCCAAACTGTTGTGTAAACAGCACGGCATACAGAAACTGTAAGACAAATCCTCCATTCTCTGGTTGTTTCTAATTTTGTCTTTGCTCCTTAATACGTCTGACTTATGTCAGGTGCCCCTCACCTTACACACCCATGTGACAAATCGTTTATCATTTAGCAGCTGAGTGATAACTTCTGAATTTCTCTCCACTTCATTCTGACACTGTTAATTCAATCAGCAGGATCCTTTGGTGAATTCCTAGGGGTGTTACAAAGATGCCTTTAAACTCTTCAAAATACATTACAGCAGAAAATAAAATATTCTGCTCTGTATTTATATTTCAAAGATTAAAAAAAGGTCACAATCCAAATTGGTGCTGTAAAAATATGTTTGGAAACCTAGTAAGTGGCTGCCCTAGGCATGTGATACAAGGGGCATAAAAACAAAAAACAGATGATATAAAAATAACCCGTTTCCTAACTTCACAGAAAAAGCGTCCGAGCAGTTTATGCTTAATTGTTAACACAGCTACAAAAGCGATTATTAGGGTGCCAAACTGTAATTGCATGTATAACACCTCAAGGCTCCAACACATATTCTTTCATTTTGCCACCAACTGACGTGATTGAAACTATTTTCAACAAATTAGTGGGTTCCTGGCATTTGTCAGTGTAATTAAAGCTAACATAACCTGATTGCTCCAAGCATATGTGAGGAGGACACATTCTGAGTAAATCATACAACAGTGGCGAACCGTGTCTATCACAACTGGACCTTCTGTAGACACACTCACACACACCCCCCGTCGCCGGTGTGTAAAACCCACACTGCTCAAACTTCCTTACTTTTCCTAAAATTGGTATATTTATTTATTTAATTTGGGGCATGGGGAATGAAGAGAAAAAAATATATGAGCATTTTATGAGCATGGGATTTTGACTCCTCATATAAACATATGCATAATGCTGCGCTATACTTTGCGACCACACGCCATTGCCAAGCAACGCTTATTGTTTAGGTGTCCTTTGATAAGCAGGCAGTCATATAATTAACTAGAACTATCTAGATTTGGACATAAACGCGAGCGAAGTTTAACCGGATGCGAGAGAGAGCTGCTGCTGACGGAGAACACGCGCCGCTGTGACGGAACGTTGAGTGGAGCAAAATTAAATACACTAAGGCCCATTCCCAAACCGCCCCCTACACCCTACCCCTCCGTTTGGAACCGAGGGGAACTCTGAAAGAATACGCCCATTGGCTACAAATCAATATATGATTGGTTGATCAAACTGTCAGTCCAAACGTACGCTCTCATTCAGTGCAACGGCCAGGGCATTCGATAAAGGATGTAGAATACCTTGGTTGAAGGATATTCTACCCAGAGACCCAGAACAAGATTGAATTGGTTGCTTCCTTTTCTAACACAAAACCACTGAAATGTGTAGTGCATGGTCCGAGAAGGACAAACAAATCAACGTAACACTGTAATATTACAAATCAACATACACACATGCATTTCCAAACATTTGGACTACCTATGTTGCAAATGTATTATCTTTTCAATTTACACACGGCATCTATTGCACATCTGTCCGTCCTGGGAGAGGGATCCCTCCTCTGTTGCTCTCCCTGAGGTTTCTCCCATGTTCCCCTTTAAATTGTGGGTTTTCTCCGGAAGTTTTTCTTTGTACGATGTGAGGGTCTAAGGACAGAGGGTGTCGTATTGTCATACTGATATTCTGTACAAACTGTGAAGACCACTGAGACAAATGTAACATTTGTGATATTGGGCTATATAAATAAACATTGATTGATACGATTCTCATTTAATATACATTTTATTTATATAATTAAATCGATTTTTTGTTTGTTTTATCTGAGTGTTCCAGGGTATTTTCTGAATACCTTGAAGGCCCTGACGGTTCGCCACTGTCATACAACATAGATAATTGGTTATGGATGCATGATGTTGGCAGGTTGGGCTTGTGTCTTAAAATTGATGTTGCTGTGCAGTGGTTATTACAACAGATAGTTATGTGACAAAAACAAGCCTACTCTGATCCCAACATACTTTTTTTCCTCTGTGGCTTTTTAAGAGGCCCTTGAAAAAAAACAAGCTCAAAGCAGAAGATATGTCAACCTTGAACGTCCTTTGATATGGGTATTTCATTCAAATGCAAGCAATTGGATGTTTTAAATTGCCCACTGCTTTTAAGAAAACAAGCCTAGGAGAGTCCTGCAATTATTCAAATGAAAATGCAAACTGACATTTAAAATTCACTATCATTTGATACGCTAAAACCATCACATATTTTACATTCAAATGCAAAAGGACAGTTTGCACTTTCATGTTCAAGTTTAAGTTGCACACTGCCTGCATAATCAACAAAACTGAAAATGCAGAATCCATTTTACATTTGGTTTCACAATCAATATGACAGGGTTTTCATTTGAAATACAAAATGCAATGACATCTGGCAAATCAATGCATTGGACAACCAGATATGAGAAAACTGAAACCCTGTCCAATAGTATAAGTAATATAGCATTCAGTGTTCTGGTGTCTGAGGATTTAAATAGATACATGATCCATAACTCAAACTCAACTTCCTGCATCACAATTTAATTTCTAACAAGTACCTGAAGCCACACAACCCCGCCAACCCCTGGATTCTTTTTATAAACGCAGGGCTGTTTTTGGTCCTATCACCCACTTAGTCAGATCTACCCAAAGTTTGTTTGAGCTGTGCTCCTAAAATACTCTCCTCAACCTACACAACACTCCAGCCTGTGTTGTCTAAAATGCTCTTATGCCCACACGTCAACAGAGGGATATTTTAGTAGCCATACTAACTGGGAAATCTCAGTTTATTATGTGTATGCCTGGATTAATTTTCCTCATTTGGTTTTAAAATGCAGACTTGCAATGATCCAGAGAATGTTGCTATAGTAACCAATCATTAAAAAATGGTGTGGTGTTAAGCAGGCTTAAAGTCAAGGTTACAATAATCCCATATCTTTGCTGTGAGGCCCTAAACCTGAGCTTTTAACATTGTTTTGAACAACAAAATGTAGCGCCAATTGTATTCTTCCTAGAGAAATCAGTCCGTTTGTTAAATTAATTGCTAATAAAGAAAAGTATACTTTGCCTCTGCTTGTTTTGTCTTTACTTGCTGACATTTGTTTGTGTTGTATTCAAACAATCTTATGAATTGGCATGTGAATACTCTCAAATATAAAGTTTAAATATTTAGTGTCAACCAAAAATGCAATTCATTTTCTATCCTCCTAAGAATTTAATCAGGGGTTGTTTGTTGTTGCCAAGAAGCCTCTTTAACCTGCCGATTACAGTCACATGCCCTTTTGGTTACACTGTTTGTTTTCCTCATACAGTTAAAAAAGGACTGTAGTTCTATCTGCATCAGGATGACTGCTCTTTTTCTCTCTGCCATGTAGATACTGCTTCCTTTAAGCGATGTGCACGTTCATGTAATGATTGCTGGGAGTGTCTGTAGGATGCTTTATAAATAAGTCAAGTACTACTCTGAGGTAGGAGTATTTTTAGTCCTAATCAAACTTTCACCGTGAATCCTGAGAGTGATTTTAAGATGCCTGATAAACACAGGCTCTGGCAGCTGATATACAATGGAATAAAAAGAGCAACATCCCCCAACCTGCAGGCCGACATTTACTTTATAAGCAGTTTTAGGTTATCCTCCCTTAAAGAGGAACTGATGCTATCAGACAGAGAACATTGTGATATTTAAAACATTGTGCCAGAAATGTTGAGGTAAAGTTGGATGCTGCCTTATAGGTACCTGGTTTTAGGATGTCACCTATGGGAAGGCGGCTACAGTGAGGAGACAAGACTGATGGGAGAGAGGAAGAGGGACAATGAGGGTAAATGATATGGCGTCAAGTCTGCTAAGTCATATAGAGACAGAGGTATTTTCAGCTATAAGATGTAGTGGATTGTTTATATCCAGTTTCATGAAAATATAACAGATATCTAGTGAAACATAATGTGTGTTAAATGAGCCAGGTAGGAAATAAACAGCTTGTGCTGACGTGCTTTTAAACTTCTGTGTTCACTGGTTGGGTGTGCAAATGTGTACTCACTGTTGGGTGTCTGGGGTAGACCATCTGCAACCATGGTATCTGATTCTAGAGTGGAAAAGAAGGGGGGGGGGGGGCAGTCAGTCTTAAAGAAATCTGTGAATAAAGAATGTGAGCTCACATCTGCTCGCAGCTTTGCACCAGTGCTAAAATTGTTATCTCACATTAAATCAATGCAGAGGCCAAAAAATCTAAAATAAATAAATCAAATACAATTCCTAGCCAAAACAGAACAAGTATGACTCATTTAGAGGAAGTGAATCATTTTAGGCCGATACAGTGAAAAGAGGAAAAACACAGCGAGCAGTCAGTTATTATTTTGAGACAATAGATATGTTTTAAGTGTCTTACCTCTGTGTGCTCTGACGTGTGTCTGAAAGCAGTTATAATACTTGTACTTCTTCCCACATACCCCACATACATAGGAACCTGCGTGACAAATCAAAACAGTGTCATAAATACAAAGTAAGAGTATTATCAGGAGTACAAACATTTAGCATAGCTCAAAACATTTCAGATTTCATTTATTTTCTCAGTAATCCCCCTACATACAGACTGAATAATACATCTCCCAATTACTTCTGAAAATACCCAAAATATTACCAATAAGTTAATCTTCTAAGCTCAAAGTAAACACCACTTTCTACAAACATTTTACATTAAATACAATTGTTTACTGAAAGTTATAAGACATTTAATCAGCTTTTGACTAAAGGGCAGAATTACTAACGAATCTGATTAATGGCAGTGGCATCAAGACTGGTATCAGGGTCAAACAGGACCGTTTGTTATTTTATTATTATGTTATATTTATTAATATTTAGTTTTCTCCTCAGACCTCAGATAATGTTAAAGGTTAGCATTGTTATTTAGCCAAGCACACAATGGATCCCGTCTGTGACACAAAAACATTGGAAAATAGGGTCTAGGTAAAAAAATACAGAAGTGAGTGACCCTTTAAGATTTCAGATGCTGATCCAACACTTAACGCACATTCAAAATGGAGGTCAATGGAAGTTCAAATGTACACACAGGCTTTTAAAAACTTCCTTTAACGCATTTCAAAAGACAACAATTTGCTTTCAATAGTTTTCATAGAGGCAGTTTATTCTGTAGAAAGTAGTTCCAGCTAACAGCTAAATGTGTGGATTATCCTGAGTAACCATGGCTAAGCTTCTGATATTTTACAGACTTTTTCAACTAAAAAAGTCAGGGTCAAGAGACACCAGACAAGAATACAGTCAGGAAATGCGTGTATCCATGTATATTCACACACCTATGCATGAGTCTGTGCTCTTCGTTGGAGGAGGAGTACCTAGGGCAAACATACCCTCGGTCTGAGCTCTACGGAATCCAACTCCGATTGCTCCCCCATCATTTCCTCCAATGACAACACAGATCTCCGCAGGGTTGACTTCACCCACTTTCCCGTTACTGGTCTCTGAGGTCCCGGGCTCTTTCTTCACTGTGACGGTGACAGGTGGTGGAGTTGGACTCTTGGGCTTAGGGACTAAGGCTGGTGAGGGAACATCTGGGGCTGCACTGCCACCGTCAGCCTGCTCCATCACAGGAGTGGGTGCTTCTGGTGCACTCATGACTCCGCCTCCTCTGAGCCCGTGCTTCTGTACCAGGGGAAAAAACAGAGAGGGACAAATACTTGACTTTACTGTCCAACAAAAACATCCATTTCAAGATTCCAGCATTACTTCTAGTGTAACAAATGGCATCTGTGCACAATACCAGCACTCCTCATTGGAAAATATGTGTTGTTTTGCATCCAAAATGGCAACAAATCCATTATCAAGAAAAAAAGGTTGTCTTGTTACCTGCATCTGACTTTTGAAAACTATTGAAAGTGTAATAAAAAGTGAGACAACCACCTCTCTTTTTCTAAATACAGACAACAGATGCACAGGTTTAAAACCCTGATACTCAGTGACGCCCCATTGCTCTAATTTCAAAAACTATCCAAATTATACAACTAGCCGTTTCAGCACAAGGCTGTAAAAGGCTTTGTCGAGAGAATGTTCTCAAAATGCAACCATGCAAAGCAAAGTTATGCCGGGATGACGGATATTATGGAAAGAGGGGGGATTGATATTCTAATAATAGCGCAACAATACAGCCAAAAACTAGTCTGTCATAGCCCAATACAACTTTCTTTTGATAGGACACAGGATCAAAAAACATCAGCAATGGAGCTCAGTCGTTACATTATATGCAATAATCGGCCTGAAGGTTGTGCAAGCTTGTGTTTGATTGATTTCCTAATACGTTCTAAAAGCTTTACATGGGACAAGCTCAAACATTACATTTTAGATTGAAAGTCAACATGAGCCATAAATAAATATCATGACATGTTGGGTAAAATTGTAATTCAAGGTTTTTCAAAATTTCCATTAGACCTTTTGGCGTTTTTCCGATTCAATATTATAAGAGACGAATACTTTTGTATGTATTTTGTATTTTTATGTATTTATCTTTTGGTGTATTTCCCATTTGAAAGCTGAAATGGCATTTCTAATATAAAAGCCATACAGCTTCTAGGAATAACTAAAAACCTGTGTGACTCTTTTTGTATGTAAAAGTACAATTGAAAAGGAAACTTTTCCATGTTATACTTTTATCTTACTTTCAAGAAGTTTACAATGTTGGTTGTTGCTGACAGAGCAACAGCCAATCTCAAATCATTATTTATTCATAAGGTCTTGGTTATTTATTGTAATGTTTAAAACTCTGGGTCTCCATATTGGAGCAGCAGATCTACACCACCATTTTGAAGAGTTCATTCTGTCTACCAGAACAGTTTTGACAGTATTTATGGATGTATCATTACTTGTATCTAATAGAAAGATAGGAGAGAAAATCTTTGAAATGGTGGCACTTGTGTCATCACCTTTAATGACAAGTACATTTTTAATGCAGACACTCGCACAGAAAGATTTTGGGTCAGCAAAGTTAGTGGCCCATTTAATCGTCTCTCAGCAGTGCCAACTTTTACATCCCAGCGACATCATTAACTGAATGGTCAGCTTTCTATTTTCCAGCTTTTGGACTGAAGTGTTATGGTAGAAGTGAACTCTTGTAATGGTTGAAATGAATATGCTGCGAAGGGAACAACCGTTTTTTATGTATTTTTAAATGTTATGGGAAGATACATTTTTATTAAAGAGTTGCTTCTGGTGAACAGAAGTGCAAAGTAATATGAATATCAAAGCATTTTATTACAGAACACACAGGACAAAAGTTCTCCTCTCTAGAAGTATCTCTAGAAAATGCCCCTTAAAATGCTTGTTGCAGTGCGCAGTATCAGAGGTAGACGGTCTGCAAAACAAACATGCAGGCATGACGTACCCATTTATGAATGTGAAAACAAAAATGACATCCCATAGAATAAATACCACCTGTGAGTGAAAGAGATCACATTTTAACATGTCCTGAATCATGGAGAAAGAAATGATGTAAGATTATGGGTGTGAATATGTTTGCCAAAATATACTTATATAATATACTCCAGTACGGCAGTAGTTAAGGTTCAGCCCTGAGCAGCAGTCATGTTTACTGAGGGTATACTGGAAAATGTAAATATTGAGTCATTTGTTTTCCATTTTAACTGGACTTACAGTCTAACCCCGAAAAAACACATTTTGTTAAAAGGTCACCTATTATGCAAAATCCACTTTTTCATATCTTTAATGCATAAACATGTGTCCCCTCTGTGTAAAGAGATTCTGAAAGTTTCAGGAAAAAAGATTCACTCACCTCCTGATCCATTTATATAAAATCCTGTCTGAAAATGAGCTGATCAGATTTTGGCCACTTTATGATGTCATAACGATTTTTTTGGCTTGTGTGACCATTAGCCAATCACCAACCAAGGTAAGCCCCCTCCCTACCTTATCACCTGAATCTCCTCCTAGAGCACCATTGTGTTCTAGGAGGAGATTCAGGTGATAAGGTAATTTTATAGTAAGACATATAAATACAGTCTCAGCCGTTTTGGGTTTTTCAGCAACACCCCCCCCCCCCCCTCCACAACGCATACAAAGAGCAATGGGTCAATGCCACTTGTCATCTTGACACACAGCCAAAACAAATAAAGACAGCACAAATATAGTTACTCTCAACTTTGATGTTGGTTGATTTTGTCTCACTAAGAGGAAAGTAAGCAAGTAGATTTACTCAAAATCTGTCCTTTAAGGTTGCTTTTTATAATTTAATTGTGTTGTGCATCTAATGTCAATTATGCTTTTACTCCAGTACCTTTCAGACAAGATGTTAAAAATATTGAGTTTACTTAAAACTATTTTACATAAAAAACAAGCTGCTGAAATACAACAAAGTCTTAAAGATGAAACCAGTGATTCCGACCCTTACAATGTACTTATTACGAAAAAAGGGTTTGGGTTCATTGCCATGTTTAAAAAGGACATTATGCCTCTAAACTTTTCACATAGTTTCATTTAAATAACAGTTTGAAGTACTAAGAGTATTTCTTCCAACAATGTTAATTACATACAGTAACAATTTTTTAACATTTCATTTGTTTAGAAAACGTATACAAAAAAATCATTGTTTGCACAATTGTATCATAACATACTAACAAAAGATCTCAAAGTGCTCAATAAGCATTAGCTGATAGGAGTCACTGGGTGGCCATTAAAATGAAATAATGGCTCATTTAACTGACTTTTGTCGTCTTTAACCAAATAATATTAAAGACAAAGAAACATGCATATCTGAATTAGACCAATTGCTTAGTCATCCACTTTGATATTCCCTGGGCAACTTTTTGAATGCCTGCCCTGGATATATGAAAGGACCCGTTTTCCTCTAATTAAAGTCAAAATGCAAAATTAGCCATCTGGCCTTCTGTTCTTTCATAGTCTGGGGCTTATGATATGCTGTAACCTGCACTATGCACCATGAAAATCTAAACCAGATGCACATTTGCTTGATGTTCCCAACGAATAAGAAACAACATAAACCAACTAAAATAAAAGGCAAGGAAATATACTAAATAAAAATCAGCTTTTTGCATATCACTGATACTAACATTGTAATAGGCACTAAAGTAAGAAGAGGTAGGTGGCATTGTGATTTATGTCAATCTATTAAATGAGTTTTCCTTTGTGGTTTGGAACAGCTGTGTATAACAAAATGACAATGCATGCATATTAACAACAATATATTACAGCAGTGTACTTAATGTATCAAGAATAAGGAGGTTAGGCATACAAGGAAAACATCTCTAGGACATACCTCTGTTCAGAATTGAGCGCTTTGCGAGGTACTTAAAATAATTGGCCTATATTTGGGCAGTGCTGTGTTTGCCTCTGCACAATAATGAAGTAAATCAATCACTGCGCTTGTTTAAAGCAAAAAGAAAGTTGCGCTCTAACTTGGAGAGACTTTCTGACTTTGAATTGTACCTTGCAATGCCAAAAAAAATCCATGTGCTCTGCATGTTAAGTATACCGTCTGTAATAGAGATTCCAAATATATAACACACATTTGTTTAAGGCTCATGAAAATGTTTCCACTCTGGGAGGGATTAAAAATAGGAATCAGCTAAAATGGGGGATGGTGGGGGTCACTTCAATCACTACTTTCACTGCATGTTTGTATTATCCAGAGCAAAGTCAGTGACTAGGAGCAGGGGTGGACCGAAAGCTGGTTCACAATAAATGCTTTGGCTTTCCCTGTTTCTTTAATCAAATGCACATTTCTCTGTCCTCTGTAATAAATGTCTTCCAAGATGGTGTATGACCAATGATTCAAAAAGCAATAATGCAGGAAATGCCCGCCCCCCCCCCCCGCCCGCCCGCCCGCCCAGACACACACACCCGTGATGCTCTGGAAAAAGAAACAGTGTCGTCTAGTAAAATTCCATCAGCATATACTCAAAAGCCCCATAAAAACCTTTTCAATCTATATGTTAATGCCACGAATTAAAATTTAATAACAAGAGATATTGAAAAGCAGACTTGAATTATACAAAAATAAATCCTGAAAGATCAAGCCCCTAAAATTAGAAATTCAGGGCGGCATCCGGTCTGCTGCTAAACCCTTGTAGGCTGGCAGATTACATTTTTGATGAAAATCAAAATTGCACTGCACACTGACGCAGGCGCAGCAAACCTGGCACTATTGTGATTTATGGATTCATTAAACCCGCGGGAGTTTTCACCCCTCCCCTTTTCACTCAAGAAATGAGATTTGCGTCGCTGAAAATTTGTATTTTCAGAAAAGCTACTCAGACTCTGCTCTAACCTTCAGAAATGGGTCAAAGAAAAAAGAAGCCTCTCTACATAACCACTGCACGTAAACAAGCCTAATTTTCAATCGCTGCAGCAATTGACTCCTTATGCATTATTCATGAAACCAATAAGGTTCATTTTACAAAGGAAGAGGCAGGAAATAATATGTGCAGAATGCACAGATTCTTTTTTAATGCTGCAGCCCCACCCTGAAAAGCCATTCCCTAGAGACTAATTTAAGTGAAGCCATTTTCAGAACATTTTCAACATGCCACTAAGAAAAGAGCCGACGCAATATGTTCACTATGTTTAAGAAGGATGCATATTTGTTCAGACACATCCAAGCACAAATCGTGAATCTGTAATAGTACATTAAGAAAGAAAGGACTGGCATGACATCAAAGACAGAAATTGTTTGTGTAAAACCGCTTGCCCTTTAAAAACGGAGAATTAAAGCCTCTGTACTAAGTTAAATGACAATTAAAAGAGCAACTATGTTTGACACAGTGGACCCACAGCAGGCTGTGATACGATCCCTCACCATGTCATGTTTATCAGTGCCTGGAGAGACATGTTTTCACCTCTCCATCCAAACTATCGCTCTGAGTATCCTCCATGAATCAAAGCTTTTGTTCTTTTAAGTACAGACAGGCGAGTGTGCGTTCCTCTTACCTTGCTTAAAATGAGAACACTCCCAGAATGCATGTTCTATTAACTATATGAGGGTTTAGGGTGTTTTTCATTGCAGCATTATTTGTGAGAGCTCTATAACTTATTACTCAGTCATTCAGGTATTCTGCATATAAACATTCCCATCACTGATCCAACCATATTGAACCCCTGACACTGGTTTCCTCCTTTCACTTCTGTACTTTAACTGAAACTCCTGCATTTTTATTAGACTCCAAGCAAAGGTCAGATTGTACACCCAGATTTTGCATACCAACCATACAATTTCCACTAGCTCTTTTCAATTTATACAGATATGAAGGTCAGCATTAAAATTACCCACAGCAAAATGGCCTCCGCAGTTTCCCTTACATTAAAATAAAAGCAAGCCATGCAAGATGGGAAACTGTTTGGCGTCTGCAGGATTAATATAAACAGTAGAGCCACTGCTTGTGATTGTTTTTCCTGCCCTCAAATTATGCTGACATGCTCCTTCTTCTTCCAGTGCTATTCAGTTCACTTTGGATAATATATTTTCCTCTAACACATTTTCCATCCAGATATAAAGTCTAAATTGTTCCATGTTTACAAAGTAGTAAATGATATCACTTTACCCAACTTAACACAAAAGAAGAGAGAGAAGAAAGGAGGAACTGGAAAATGGTAGTTAATGTGTTAGATTTAAAAGATTCATGGTGGATTTAAAATGTGTTTTAGTTCATATTTGTCACAGAATGACGTGGAGTGTCTAACACATTTGGCAAAATAAGTCCAGGATAATCATCATGAATAAAACAAAGCAGGAATACCATTAACTTGTAGACTGCTTTAAATACAGAATTTAAAAAGGGTTAATTTGTATCAATTAGTATGAAAAGCACAAGGTGATTTCATTTAAACTTATTTCAATAATCTACATATTATATCAATTAATTGTAAGCAGCATTATGACATGCGTATCAGAAAATAACATTCAAATGAATTACAAATTCTCAAAACTAGTCTCATTATAATTTGTAATTTCTCAAATGACTGCCTACAGGTGGCGCCAATTACCCCCAGAATTAAAATCCTCTATCTTCCTAAAAATAAAATTCGAAATATATTTTGACATGGACGACAGTTGAAGTGTATATTTATTGTCTGACTAAAATTCAAAAACAAACCCTGAAATACAGCCAAAAGTAACACTAGTGTTGTGTGAGGTTTCAGAGGAGAAACTCCGAAGCCTCTGCTCAAAATTTGCAGGAAAATTCACAAAACATGGCTGCAGGAGGGTTTTTTGTGTTTCAGATTGTTCCTCCCCTCGTCGTCCTTCATATTGCCACTATCGTCCCTTTGCAGTATCGGAATATACACTGTTTTTACCTATGTGGTGTAAATGTGGACAAACTAGCTGCAGAGACAGTCAGCAGTTACAAGCAAACTTCATACGAATATTCTGTCAAAATACAATCAACAGATTAGGACTATTTCGGATTGCTCAAAGCCTGCACCTGGCTCAGTGGCTGGCTACAGTACAAAACACTGTCAGGTAGCGTTTGCTAAGTAGAAGGGGCTGAAACTTAACATCCGCAACTGAAATTCTAAATTGTAGGATTTCTAAATGAGAAAAAAAGATAACACAAGCGGTCTGACATACCTCAAAAACGATGCAGCTCATGCGAACAGGCTCCCCGCTGCAGAAATCGTCCCTCCCCGAGCAGAGGTGACAGCCTGTACAACTGTTCTCCTTCCTCAAAAAAAAAAATTGTGAATTAGTTATGAGAAATTCCAAATGTAGCACATTTTCACCACAGCGTTTTTTCCTTCCTCGAACGCTACGTTAGCATTTTAGAGTAATGGCGAGATGAATCATGAATTTGTCGAGTTCTACCTTCTGTATTTGCAAGGCTCTCCGTTTCTACCTCGTGCAGTGGCTTTATGTTGCGGTTCCTCCTGTGGAAATTTCGTCCGCCATATACAAGGGCAGATTCCGAAATTGCAGCGCCGGCCAGTATATTAGCCTACATGAAAGAAAAAAAAAGAAAAAGGAAAAAAGTCTGAGAAGAAGACAGAAATAAAATGTGGGCCAACTATAAAGTTACACAGGGAATAAAGAGACTGCAAATTACGCAGGGGGAAATATTCTCATGTGAATTGAGAACATTTTGTTTGCGGACTCTTACTATCACAAACTATAACGATCGAGACGTGGGACTATTTCATCTGATAATAGATTCTGATCAAGTCGTATGATGCTGATGTACAGTGTCTGTGTTAAAATAGCATAGCTTCTTGGTCACCTTGTTGATAATTATAAATGTAAAGGAAAATAGCAACCCTCCATGAACAGTTTGTTCGAGATGTAATGTATCTGTTCAGATCAATCAAAATAAAACTCCTTCCAGTCAAAACGAATGAAAACAGTTAAAACAAGTGTACTCATGTTAGTACATGTAACTGCAGTAGTCTGCATACAGTATGTTCTAATGTTACCATTCAAGGGAAAGGTTTTGGTTGGCCAACACATTTTCATTTCGAAACTCCACTCTGAGAATCAGCAATCCTTTTTTTTTCTTTTGAAATAGTTTAATTCTTGTTTCGAAAGCGAGAATCTCTCTAATGTTTTTTTCAAAACATATTTTGCTAATGAATAAATTGTATTTGGTATTTCATATACATAAATCACGCAGGTATAGTCTCTTACTGTAGGTTAAATGATTAGACTGCAATAATATAACCATGCACACCAATAATAATAATAATAATAATAATATATATTATTATTATTATTATTATATAATAATAACAGCACATTCCATAAGCAGAAACAGCATGTATTAAGATGTGAGGATAATGTGAACTGTATAGTGAATGTATTTGCCTTTGGAACACCCATTGAAAAACCTCTGCTAACATCTCAATATTAATTCTCTTTTATTAAACGAATTCATTGCTACATTAATTATGTTGCTAATCAATAATGTATCAAGTCTATGAATTAATCAATTACACAATGTCACTAGTAATTAGTTAGGGAATTAAGAATTATAATGTATTTATTTTGTATTGTAAATTATACAAGTAGGCTACTTTTAGCAATTAAATGACAATTACATCTATTAACCGTATCCAAAAATACAAGTGTGTAATCTTATTTATTTTAATCCATGATACACTTTATTCATAAGTGTCTTTCTATTTTACAACTATATATTAAATCACAATGATTGTAATTTATTTTACATTCATGACATACAGTAGAAAGTGAAAACAATTCCTCACTAAGCTCATTAGTGTGCTTTGTGAGGAATTGTTTTCACTTTCTACTGTATGAGTCATTACAGATATCAAAACGGGAAGGTTAATTTGACTCTGAAACCAATGAATAGTAACATTTTCTAAAAAGATCAAAATGTGTTTTTTTGGGTCATCATATTCATACTTAACACAACAACTCTTAATCTTGGATGAGGACTGCATCATGTTCTTCTGCAACAGGCCCTGGAGGGCTTGTGATGGTGGGGGGTCAAATTAATGCAGCAAAAATAAAGTGAAATCCTGAAAATAAGCCTGCTGCAGTCTGGATTACAGGAGAGGACATTTTCTTCAAGCAAGAACACAACTCTAAACATAAAGCAACATCTGCACAGGAATAACTTGTAAAACAATGTGTGTGTCTTGGAGTGTCTGAGTAAGAATCAAACATTTGAACACTTTCAAAGCTTGAGCAGTTGCAGAAGAATGGGGACATTTGCAGTTTGTCCACATGTACAAAGCTGATGGCAGATGGGTGCTTCTGCCAAAATCGAACAAACAAAAAAATGTAAACTGCTAGTGATGGTGAGATTTTTCTTGCTGTCACATACAATGAAGAAATACAAATGTCTTATTTAGACTTTTGTACTGGGTCTCTGGGTGTGTTCATCGTTTCTGTCCAGCAGAGCGCGCCAACATACCAATACATATTCACTTCACTTCCTTTGGCAAGTAACTCTGTACAGCAGGACCTGCTCGTTCTCTGCTCTTACCCCCTCTGCTTCTTAAATTTAGTATTGTGGAGATTTAGCTGGGACTGTAAAGTAAACATCTGCATAACCTAAGTGCCGATGGCAATAGTATCCTAATGTTGCAGCTATAGGAGAGTCCAGATTATTCAGGAAAGCATAATCCATTGTTGACTACATCACTGTATTGATCATTTGGCAACACAGGTAACAAACAAGTTGTAGGTACTTGAGGTAGGGTAACACTTACCTCGTTGAGAGGTGTTCAATGCCACTTAGCGAAAGGAATTCAAATCTGTGGGTATTAGAATAATGTATTCTTTCAAATGTCCAGTTTATTGTGAAACAAATGCTCATCAAAAGTAATTAAAGGAATTCACAGAGTTTTACAATAGTTGTAAGTATGATATGTACACATACAGCAAACACAAAATGTCATGATGTCCTTCTAAAAAGAAAATATTATATGTGCAAACCTCAAATCAGAAGACAGGTGGTTGTAGTAAAAGCATTACATTTCATTCTTTCAATTGGATATGCAAATGTAGATAGAGGAGTTGAAACAGTTGAATCAAATCGATAAAACTAGTTGTCTACACTCAAAAGAATAGACATGTGTTCACATGCCTGTCTGTGATAATACATAGAACCATAAACTTAATTTCTCACATATACCTGAGATGATTGCAGGCCATTTTGGCAATGGTGCAGATGTTGGACAGCACAGGAAGTGGATGAAGAAAGCTCATTTATGTCCGGCGGTCATACTGTGTGTTTTAGTCACATGATGATCCTGTAACATTTTTCAGCCTCAAACATTTCTGGTGAAAACTAGCAACCAAAGTGTCCTCGATATAATACAAAACACACCATATCTGTCTTATATCATTTGTCTCAGCTCAAGGTTGGCCTGACCTCCTCTCGGCCTACTTCTTGCTTAATATTCCTTCCAGAGAACCAACAGGTGAGTGGGGCTGACAACAATGCTATTTTTTTCTCAACAACCTACTTAGGCTTGAGAGCTGTAACATCCTTCCTGCAAACTCAAGATTTAGGCATATATATATATATATTTCTACAATAGAAATACAACCTGTATTCCACTTACTGTGAATGTGCATGCTCTTATTCATGCACAAAAACATGAAAACACACAAACCACAGAGGAGTAGGCCTACAGTAAGGGCAGTGTTGAACAAATATAATGTACATACTGTAGATAAAAACAATCAGTACAGACATGCAATTACATCCATTGACAGTAAACAGAACAATACAATTACTGACCAATCTCTGTAGACATTTAAAATGCATGTATCTCATTGTTACCTGTGATTTCATCACCAAAGTTCATCCTTTACCTTCATGGTTCAAGAAAACAGTAGTTGTTGACTGACCACAGACAAGTACAAAGCAGGTATGAATCCTGGCTGTTGTCTGTTACGTTGCCCGTGGTAATTGCAGGTTTTCGTCAAAGGCTTCCTGCAGCATTTAAAGTGTGTTATTTAGAATCATGAGAGCTTCTAATTCTGACCCGAAACCAAACACACAATATTTGTGTTTTCTAAGGTGACTGATACAATAGACCTTAGGCTAAATATATTATGAAACAACAGTTTGTAAATGTTTGTTTTGTCTATCTCACAAAGGGTCGGACTAGAAGATGAAAATGTCACTTAACTGTGTCTAGTATGTAGACATTCGGCAGTTATAGATGTGACCAGCTTCACTAAATCAACAAGCAGCCTACAATCCTAACTAAAGGTCCATTCACTAACCTTTCCAGAAGTTCAGCTTAGCTTAGCATAAAATGGTTAAAAGTTATACCCTGTCAAACTAAACATATTACACTTACCTATTGTGTACTTTCGTCTTGCATCTTTTACTTTTTACTTGATTTCGCTCAATCGAACAATACACTTCTCACTAATGTAACAGACAAAGTTAAGTAAAACTGTGTTTAAACATGTGACTGTACATTTAACAAGTTGTGCACAACAAAAATAGATTATACAACAAATGAGTAATACTTTGCCTATTGATGTGACAAACACAGATAACACGGTAGCACTTTGGCTATTTTGAGACAAATGTCCTTTTCAAGGTTTTCAACCTACAGGTAATCAGAGGCTCCGGTCTGTTTTGTTACTTACATGATTGCCAACCATGCAGAGCAAAAAAGCCCATAATTGTTTTACTGCCATCTCTACACTAACATCGGGAGCACCTGATTAGGGAAAGTGAGTAATGTAATTATAGTTATGACAAAGTTATAAGCGTCTGAACCTCCTAAGGCTTTTATATGCATGAGAGGTCAAAGAAAAAGCTAAGAATATCACAATGATTGTGCAGTAAACCTCTGCTGCCCACAACGACAAAATGTATCTGATTACAGCAGTGCTCTATCCCAGTTATTATAGTCATCCACTCTCTGCACTTGGATGTTGTTTTTGGTCACTGAAGAGTCAAGGACAAAACATAAAATCACCGTCCAGGAATTGAACATATACTGTAAAAGGTTGTGTGCAATGTATCTTTGTTTTTTTTCATTTAACTTTAACTTTTCTTAACCACTATATGCAGTGAACATTTAGGCTACCCAACAAAAACAGCTGACTCCCAATTTCATACTCTCAAGGATTGAGTTCATTACCAGCTAAATTAAGTGACAGATAAACTGAGTTTGGTGTTTTGAAAACATACTAGAGATAATACTAGGAAGCTATCCAAGTTAACACGACATCTGATTAGAAGGCACCCCAAGTATGAAGGAAAACAAAAAGATTTTTCCATCTGCAGAGCGAGGAATACTCTTGCCAGAAATTACAGATGGTGAGAACAATTTCACAACAAAGCACAGATGGCTCCTCTCATTAAGTTCAGGACAAACAACAGCACAACAAATGACCCTCTTTTTGACTGAAAGTTATTCAAGTTGCATTTTGTTTCGTGTGTACTGCTGTGAACCAAGTTAGACATATGTCGTTTTAAGAGTGTTCAGATACAAAATGTTTCAGTGGAATCCAAAAGTGCAGT